TAATATCTTCCAATTAATGACAAACATTTCAAAACCCAAGAGCAATAAATATGATAGAATTCAGTGTATTTTAATCTCTAAAGTACGGCCCCCCAGTGGCACAGTCTGCGGACTTATACTGCTAGAAACCGGGTTTCGATACCCGTGGTGGGCAGAGCACAGATAGCCCTTTGTATAGCTTTGTGCTTAATAACAAACAACAACTAAAGTATCGTATGATATTGAAATATTCAACTTATTAGACATATGCGTGCGCAAAAAAAAAAATCATAAATACAATTAATATTTCTACGTAAGCAGTCGGGCCCGGCATGGCCAGGTGGTTAAGGCATTCAACTCACAATCGCGGGTTCGAATCCCTTTCACACCAAACATGCTCGCCCTTTCAGCCGTGGGGGCGTTATAATGTGACGGTCAATCCCACTATTCATTGGTAAAAGAGTAGCCCAAGAGTTGGCGGTGGGTGGTGATGACTAGCTGCCTTCCCTCTAGTCTTACACATCTAAATTAGGGACGGCTAGCGCAGATAGCCCTCGTGTAGCTTTGCGCGAAATTCAGAAACAAACAAACAAACGTAAGCAGTTTCGTTATACACGCGTTCCTTCGTCAGTTGTAGTACTAAAACTTTTGTTGAAAATTGCAAGTCACAATTTACTGGTGGGTGATTCCGAAAAGAAATATTTACTGAAATCGAACATGCATTTTTTTTGTTTTGTTTAGTTCAAGTCTCTTCTGAGTTATTTTTAATTCATGATCTAGGAAACGTAAATCATTTGAAACATATAAATAACTTTTACACATTCATTTATATAGATACAACTATTAAAATTGTTTAACTCTTAGTTCTTGGCTGTCCAAGATCAAATTCTAGCCAGAAACTACGAGTATTTATTGAAGGTGGTTGTCAAGGTGATAATTTGCTTAGATTAAGAAATTTTTAACCAAACATGACCAAAGTTTAACAACACGTGTTCACCCAGTGGCTCAGCAATAAGCTTGAGGTTAGAGTTAGGTCCCTAGAATGAGCACGGCATAGATATCCAATTGTGTAAAGCTTTGTGTTTAGCAACAAACATATCATTTCGTTACTCTGTTATAAGTAAGAACACAAGAATCGATATATATGTTTTGATTGGAAAGATCTTTGATCTTATATAAAGATTAAAGGTGAAGAGAATTTGAACAACCTATTCCTACCTTTCTGGACCAAAATTCAATATTTTGTTATATTCTATAAAAGAACAAACATGAGGGTTGTTTAACGTTAAGAAACGAATGCAGTTAATAAAATAATATGTATTTCTGTGTTCCTACTTTTGAAGAAGATTACAACAAACATAAAACTCTAGCTTATGATTGTTTATTTGTTTGTAATTAAGCACAAAGCTACACAATGGGCTATCTGTGCTCTGCCCACCACGTGTATCGAAACTCGGATTCTAGCGTTGTAAGTCCGCAGACATACCGCTGTGCCTCTAGGGGGATCTAGTTTACTAAATAGTAGTAGTAATTTTTATGAACTTTAATTCATCTGTAGGTTTATCTCTATACGAAAGTCATAAGAAATAATTTGTTAATTAATATGATAATTACTACAATTATTATTATAACAATAAATTGGCCAGAGAACACATAGAATAAAAAAGAATGGTGAATTTTATCTTATTTTAGAATAGGAGGAAAAATATTATGATGAAGGTGAAACACCGAAACGTCGGCGTTAATAAATACTGAACGAAGAGAAACATCTTCAACACATTATAAAACTATTAAAGATTAAGTAGATAGGAATTTGTACAGACTGAAATTTATTGTTGCTGAATTAAACACACTTATTAAGGGATCTGAAAAGATCTGTCTTATCCCAGCCGGTATAATGAGCTCTAGAATTGCCCGAAAGGCATCGTCGGCCTAGATATAGCAGATCTAATTGGCTGGCAGATTATTAAATATATATACTTTGCTTTCATCCAATAGTTCTAATTCATAATTACTAATTACGCTGTAATCACTTGACAAGCTTCAAAAACTAGCTTACTGAATGATGAGTAAAGTGAATTCAAGTAAAAAAATATATAAAGGTGTATATAATAAACGAATTGGTGTAAAATATCATATTCGGATATTAATAAAATTAGTAAATCAGGTTCGATTACATTTAGTGAAGTAGACTCAAATAATACCCTAATTATTTATGTTTTAATGTTTAGTCCATTTATTAAAGTGATTTAAAATTGCCCAAGATCTGCTTCAATCTCTGTTCTTACAATCAAAACTTTGAGAAATAAACATTTCTTGGTAAGATCGGTAACGGTTTTCCTTATTATTCTCATATTTCTTGATTAGATTTGTAGAACATAATAACGAGCAAATACATTAAATTTGACTTTAGAGGAGAAAATTTACTCCAAAATGTGTAGTTAAAAATTTATAATTAAAATTTGATAATTTTATGTATCAGCTTGTTTGTTTGTTTGTAATTAAGCACAAAGCTACGCAATAGGCTATCTGTGCTCTGCCAATCCCTGTTTCTAACGTTATAAGTCCGCAGACATACCACTGTGCCACTGATTATTTTTTATTTTCTTTGTTGTGTGCACTAGCTGGTTATTATTTTTTATTTTCTTGTTGTGTGTACCAACTGGTTATTATTTTTTGATTTTGTTTGTTGTGTACACTAGCTGGTTATTTTTTAAATTTTCTTTGTTGTGTGCACCAGCTGATTATAATTTTTTGATTTTGTTTGTTGTGTGCACTAGCTGATTAATATTTTTGAATTTGTTTGTTGTGTGTACCAACTGATTATTATTTTTTTATTTTGTTTGTTGTGTGCACTAGCTGATTAATATTTTTGAATTTGTTTGTTGTGTGCACCAGCTGATTATAATTTTTTGATTTTTTTTGTTGTGTGCACCAGCTGATTTTTTTTTCTTTGTTGTGTGCACCAGCTGATTTTTTTCTTTGTTGTGTGCACCAGCTGATTTTTTTCTTTGTTGTGTGCACCAGTTGATTATTATATTTTGATTTAGACAAAAAAATGCACGTCAGCAGTCACTCTGAACCTTAGATAAAACCATTTTCAGGAATGGCTTACAAAATCTTTCTTTCTTGAAGTGTCCCTCGTGTACCAATAATAGTAAAACCACTCCTTCTATTTAATTATTAAATGTAATATGTGTGAAATCATGAAATAAGGATAACAAGTTGCATCAAGTATTAAATTTATTGTAGTGTTGTTTGAAAATATTTTCACCCATTCTTCTTATAGCTATCAGTGAAAAAAAGTCGAAAAAACAATGTCTCCCTCTCTCTCTC